AGGTATTCACGGCCTCCAGGACCCAAGTGTGAACCCCCCTGGCAGATCTTCCAATTAGCCAAGATGGGCAAGGGTCGAGCGGAGTGGTAGTACAACGGACAGATCCTGTCCACATCCTCAGGTCTCAACAACTGAAACTCATCCATTAAGACTTGACCTAAGCACGGCACACTGGACACATCCTCTGATTCTGCAGTAATGGTGGAGTCCAACCCAATGCAAATCTAAGCGATTTTTCACTCAAAATGAATGGCAAACTCATCACAGTAAGCTGATGAGCAGTCCAGGACCTCCACCAGATTCCCCAGTTGAAGAATATCCCGGACCACCTGAAACAGCTCTGCTGGATGACATTCTGAGGAAGCAATACGGCTGGAGAAATATTGCCATTTCGCCAACCGTATTGCCACGAAATAGGCCTAGTAATGGGCTCTAAGTCGTGTTCGATCGGACTCCCAGCAAGATTTCCTCCACCTGCACTCCAGCCGTCTCCCCTCTCGCTTCATCACCTGCAGTTCAGAAGTATACCAAGGAGCTGTCTGGACTCTGCACTTAGGCGCAATAGTGTCAACCACCCGGATCTCCTTATTCCATAGGGTTACCTGAGCTTCGACAAGAGCACCAACCATATCAGAGGGACAATCCCCCACAGCATTCAGGAAACCATCTGGATCCATTAGTCTCTGAGGGTGGATCATCTTAATAGATCCCCCACGCTTGACCAGGAAGTGGTCTGACAATGACAATGGGGTCACAACCAGCCCCTCCACATCCAAATCACCATCTTCCAGACCTGTTGAGAAAACCAAGGCATGGCTGTTGTCATGTGTCGGGCTGATGACACATTGAGACAGCCCCATGGTTGTCATGGCAGCCATGAAGTCCTGAATCACCCCAGTCTTGCCCCAGCCTCGGCATGGATGTTGAAGTCCCCCAGCACCAACAGCTTGGGAGTCCTCAACACCGGGTCCAAGACTACCTCCATCAGCTCAGGCATGGAGACTGTTGGTACACAGCAGGGTGGGCAGTACACCAACAGAATCCCAATCTGTCTCGTAAACCCAACATACAATACAGGCCCTCAAGACATCCTCTCAAAGAGATAGGAAGCCTGGTCTTATCTTATCTAAATCTTCCTACAAGTGATTATAGGTTTCTCTTCAAAAAGGCTCAGGGTGGAAAAAAAAGAGTAAAATTTCATTCCATAGAATGAATACAGATCAACCTAGAAACAATGGGTTGTGTCTCCTACTTTCTACTTTTTTTCCTACACAAGTGACTAACATCCATCCTTACTGCCCTCCCCATCCCACAAAGTCCATTGTGTATGCCACTTTCCCAAGAGAATATTGTTGTCCATATTGCTCAACAATTAACTAGCAACAAGGAGAAATCTCTATAATGAACTTCATTAGTCATCAATATTCACACACCTTTATGAATACTATAGTACAGAGCAGTATAGGTTATTTCTAATGTAGAACTTCAAAACTTTATTTACTTGAGGCAATTTAATTAGAACAAAATCTAATTAAAATGGAATGTAGTGTGATGCACTGCGCTTTGCATTAGTTCCTATGGGAACTAATGCTTCAATGTAGGAACACACCTCTACATAACAAAAAAAACAGCCAGAACGGATTAATTGGTTTTCAGTCCATTCCTATGGGAAATTTTGCTTCAACTTAAGAACGTTTCAACTTAAGAACACCATTCCAAAATGGATTAATTTCTGAAGTAGAGGTTCCACTGTAGTTTCTATGGATGGAAAAGAGCAGATACGGATTAAATGGTTTTCAATGCATTCCTATGGGAAATGCAGATTCAACATAAGAACTTTTCAACTTGAGAACCACCTTCCAATACGGATTAAGTTCTTAAGTAGAGACCCCACTGTATTGTTGTCCATATTGCTCAACAATTACCTTACCTAGCAACAAGGAGAAATCTCTATAATGAAATTCATTAGTCATCAATATTCACACACCTTTATGAATACTACAGTACAGAGCAGTATAGGTTATTTCTAATGTGGAACTTCAAAACTTTACTTACTTGAGGCAATTTAATTAGAACAAAATCTAATTAAAATGGAATGTAGTGTGATGCACTGCCTAGGATAGGGGTGTGATGTGGAAAGCCTCAATTTCAAACCTCACTTCAGCCTTACATACAAAAGCCTTATGTACCTTACCCCTTTCAAAGTGAATGGAATAATACTGGTATATTGCATAATACAGTAGTGGGTTAGTTATAAGAAGAGCTTAAAACACTTGAATGAACTGCATGTTGTATTAAAACTGGAGCTGTAAGAAGTGATGGCAACAAAATGGACTATTCTCTTTGTTCTATAATGCAATACATATGTTTCATACATAAGAGAAACTAATGTGCATCTAACCAAATACATAATACCTAATAGCATTTATTTTGTATGCAGAATTCTGTATCAGCAGAATATACAGTACACGGAATGTGAGACTTTTTAAAAAGCTCCATGAGAGCCCCATGCTGACCAGCAACTACTGGAACAACAGCACCAGAACAACAGTATCTCTACTGCTCTATAACTATAGCATACATTTTACAACTTATATTGTCTGAACTATGCTCTATCTTTATGATAAGGATGGTAAGACTTCATGTTGGTAGCAGCAAATATTTTTTCTTAATAAAGCCCTAAAAGACAAATGTAAAATGGGGAGGGGAACTGGCTTCTTACCTGACTTGTGTATCCTGTGCTCTGATAATCATATATGAAGATACAAACCCTTATTTTTATTAGAACAAATCTGAAACACTAACATTAAATTCAAAAGCAATATAATTCTTTTTAAAGGCAAACAACTAATAGTTCTAGTTTAAGTTAACATTCACATTGGCCAAGCATAGCCGAGGCAAGCCATTAAATTAATAAAGAGAAAGAAATCAAGGTATGTCTATTTGCTCAAAACAAAGTCTTCCACAGCAGTTTAACATGCAAAAATCACCATAACTGCAAAGGTAGAGATTGAAAGGAAAATAACGCAACACGCAACTATATGTGTGAGAGGGTGAGGTTCTCCCAAAGTGAGAGCAGGGACCAAAACAGTTGTCTATAAAGGAGATAAGCTCCACAATAGAGAAGATTTGAAAAGGGGAAGAGATAATTACGGGATAACAACACAAGATGCTAAACTTGTGCTAAACTTTTATTCCAGCAGCACGATTCATCCAGATTCTTGTACCTGAACAATCAAACTTGCAATTAAGCCCATATTTTTTTTCTCTTGATGGCCAGTAATAAGACAAAACAAGCTAATTGTAAAACATGGCAATACGAAAAAATCCTGCTAGAACAATTAGTCAACTTTTATCACTTCAGGGAAAACCACTTAAATGCAGAGTTGACTGTTCTGCCTAGTTAAAGAGATGAAGAGGCTGACTACTACAACTCTTTCCTCAATATGTGACTAATAAGCTGCAACTTGTACCTTCCAGCGCTCTGAAAATTAAGATGATGACATTTCCACATCAACACTGAACACCACGAGCACTCTTCTGAGAAACAGGGTGCTGTCAGCTGCTTATAAAATACACTTGCTGTGTTTCTTCTTACTGGATTTCCTAGACATTTCTTTTCAAAATTTCACAGCTATCTTCTGCTACGTGCCCTCTTTTTTATAACAGAGAAGGAACACACCTATTATGAAGAGAAAGGTGCCTCTAAGTTAGTACATGAAAATTCTTCTGAGTAGTGAAACTCATCTTATCTCACTTCCATTCTATAAAGAAGAAAATCCCTTCATTTCCCTATTAATCCACATCTTTTTTGTATACTGTACATTTCTCAAAATTCCCAAGGAAGAAATCATGTGAAACAGGTGATAAGAACTCTGAGAGGTCATCTCTGTATATATCACATGTCCTCAATCTGTTGCTCTTCAAAGGTTTTGGACTTCACGTGCCATCAATCCCAGCATATAAAACAAACAGGTGTATTCTGGGTGTTGTAGTCAAAGCATCTGGAGGGAACAGAGGCACACAAAAAGACATATGGAAGCATAGGGGGGTGAGAAGTGCGGCTACAAAGACATCAAGCCAAGGCAAATTCTCAGGAGATTGGGAGTCTTGAGGAAGCTGTGGCAAATATAAGTGAATTAAAGACAAAAAGTACCCTCCAGAAGAGAATTTTTTTAATGTTACTGCTCACTCAGCACACTCTTCAGACAAGGGCCAAAGGGTAAAAGGAAGGAAAAGGCCTCCTCTGATGTAGATTAGCTTGACATTGACTAGTGGCTGATGTTCTGCTTTCCCCGCTGATGAATTTCAGGAAAAAAAATTGTGCTGTCCATCTCTACATTATGGATACATTCTTGTTCTTTGCTTTTCTGCCTAGATATTTCTGTACTGTATAAAGTTTTTCAAAGGCAAGACAAACCTACAGCATTGTTAAGTATATGTATTTGGTCTTCTAACATTTCATTTTTAATTCTATAATTTTTTTTTCAAATCTCACTCTCTATTACAGTACATACATCCCAGGATACCTATCATCACAATTTAAAACTATACAAACAATCTAATATTATCCAACCATCATATAGAAAACATTTTAGGTTTTTTGGGTTTGTTTGTTTTCTTTTTAGAATATGCATGCTTTATTATATTTCCAAATGCTTAGTAGAAGCACCTGGAAAGTGTTTCTATGCTACATCTATTTTAAAATAAATCTTGTCTTTCTCACCAAGGCTTTCATTGTAATCTAAATCAAGATGACTTACACAAGGGCAAAAAGCTTAGAACTGATTGACTACACCAGCAATTTAGGAACGAAACAAGCCTGACTCCATTAAGTGCAGAACTGATATATTCAAAATACAATGGCCTATAAAAGTTAACATACAGTTTAGACAGTGAGTTGATGTACAACAACAAAATAGCACTGACTGCATATTATGTAATTACATAATTATGTAATGAAATTACACCTATATGTGCCCAACAGGCCAACCTTACAATCTTACAGGTCATTTAATCAACATTAAATTACATAATTTGATACATATTATCAAAAAATGCAAATATATATATAACTTTCCAGATAGGACAAGAGAAGAAAGACATAAATGTTTACAAGGCACCCACAAAGTACATTAAATTATTTTAACACAGAAATTACAAGGATAAGGATTCATTACTTACTGTATCTGAAAACTGTGGCAAAACCCTTACTTATGCCAATGTTTCACAAAAGACACTTTTAAAGTGTTCTTTATTAAGAACACTGCACAGAACACATCTTGGGTTTGATGATCAACAGTGCATACCTAGGTGGCAACAGCTCTGGAGGACTAGCACTACACACACCAATATGAACGAAAACCAAACAATAAGTGCACAGTAAATTAAAGTTTGAGATCTATTACCATGACAAAAATGCAAGGCAACTGAAATGAATTAGAAAATGTGCTACTGTACACCAAGTAGATACAAACGTGTACAAGACTATTGTTGTTTCTGTTAGTATTGATCTGACTCAATTTTGGGCTACCTAAATTGCTTAAAATGATTCTTCATATTTTACTCCATACCACTCTGATGTTGTTTTTGTTTTTGTTGCTATTTTAACTCTTTCTTAATAAAACTAGCTTCTTGTATTTCAAAACAACAAAACAAATGTAGTTATTCCAACTCACATAGCCACATTTATCCACTCAGCCAAGTTCATTGTCTGCTTCCATACATGCATTATTCCATACAGACGCTGGCAGAAAGCTAGTATTACACAGTTAAATCAAACAAGTTCTTTTCCCACAAACCCAACTATTTCTAACCTTATCTTTTTTCTTAAAGTTCAACACAAGCAACTTACAATAAAATAGCTGCTACAAAAAGAGAGGAAAGGAGGACTTACTTGCTACTTCCAGTGATGCATTGTGGCTAACAGCTTCACCAAGATAATTCCTTGCTACACAAACGTAGACTCCTTCATCAGGCCTACTTTTACGGCCATGAACTATGCGCAAGAAAAATAAAGATCCACTTGGCAACAACATCCGATGTGAACGAGGATCGTCTTTGTCAGTTTCTACCCTTTCCCCTCCTTTATACCATTCAATAGTTGGTACTGGCCTGCCTTCAGCCTTACAGTTCAAAGTTGCTGGTTCTCCTTTAGAAACAATTAGATCCGACGGATGTTCAACTATTCGAGGTGGGAAATCCTCCTGACGAAGACGAGAACCTAAGGGGGGAAAATTGCAGATTTAAATATTTTAACTCCTTCTTTATTGATAACTTTTTAACATTCACCCCAATAAGTTAATATTTTAGTTATGTCTATTATTTAATATAGGAATCAGTCAGAAGGTCTAGGGTCCAGTCTTCCCTATGGTTCACCTTGGGTCCCACTGCAAACACCTACTGAAATCAAACTTCTATTCAACTTCTGATTTAAATAAGAATAATAAAAATGTTTCAAGGCTTATGTGGGTTATGTGCCTTATTTTGAAGGTTCAATACACTTTCCAGAGCCTTCCAAAGTGTGATTCTCCTTGTACTAAGGTGAGACAGTTATTCAGTATGAACCCATGGGCCATATGATTGCCTCCACATAATTTAACATGCATCCCACCTCTCAAAGGATTTTGCAACAAACATTTAAGAACAGCACAGTACTGGAAACAATGTTAAACATAAGCTCACTACTGTCATGAAGTCAATGAAAATGAGGCAAATTTCAATATCTGAAATTTCAACACAGCTTTTCGGGTAAATTCTTTGGGTAAAAGAATACTGGCTTTACCTGCTTCTTAAAGGACAGTACGAGGTGGCAAATTCACTGCACAGTACAGAAACTTAAAAGTCCAGCTTTGTCACTCTTTGATACTGTGGCTAAGCCCACCTCCATTCTTTTCTTATTTAAGATATGCAAATAACCTGTCAGATATTCTCCATCCTTAGAACATTTCATAATATGCGAACTGCCCTGTGAAAGAGGCATGCCTTCTGATAATGAGACCCTGAACTCTATAGGGGTTCAATGGTCAATTGAACCAACTGGTTTCTGAGATACAATCCCTGTGCCAACCTGGCATAGTGGTTGTGTCCCTGCAGTTACAGAAGATTTAGTTGTATCCTAAATCAGCTCATTCCACAGTTTTTCTACCTTTCTGCTGACAACCAACAGAGCAGTTTTGCTGTCAGTTCCCTCTGCTAATAGATCTAGCACAAATACGTTCTGCTGACATGGAGGTAGCTATAACACTACAAAAGGCTTCAGCCCATTCTGAATCCACTACAGCTGGTGCATATATGGGTTAAGATTACACTTTCAGGATAGGTTTTTAGATAAGTATGATTAAATATATTATCCTGTTCCCTTTTTCATACAGCAGCCATAATAGCTTATTCCAAAGAACCATACCACAATTAAAAACTATTAGCATAAAAATGCAAATTTGAAGTACTAAACAGTTTGACTACATTACACAAAATTTGCATCAGTTGCCTTGGTTGCCCACTTAATAGCTCTGAATAGCTGAGTATAAAGTTTGAAGGACCAGTTACACCCATGTGAATATTTGAGATTGCACCAATAATGTTAGAGATCCAGCTTTTTAGCCCAGCACTGAAGCTGGTCTGGCCAGCAAATCCCACATGTTAAGGCATTTTACAGATAGCCCATGCCTTTAGAAAATTTTTTCTCCCTTAAGAATTCAACATTACACCTTTCCAAAGGGCTTTGTGGACTCAAGACTTTGTTTTCTGATTTTCTTGCTGATTTTATTCCTATCTCCCCATATATAATTGACCAATTAATTCATTCTATATTCTATTTTAATATTTAAATACAAGCTTTTTAAGAGTTTGCCATGAAACACAAGTAAAATACAGTTATTTTAGTGATATTATGACCAAAAAACATACTGTATATAAGACCAAAAAATAGAACAATTCACAAGAATCATGTGCCAAAATGGTCAGAAAAACTAATCATACAACCTCCCAAAAATCCAGATTTAAAGAATGTAAGCTTAAAAAACCCGAAATTTATTTAACATAACAGCAGAAATTATAATTTAAAAACCGGTGGACCAGTAAAAAAACTAGTAAAATTTTTCACACTGCACCTTTCCTGATATCTGAAAGTCAGGAAATATCATCCAAAAGACATTCCAGAGCCTCTCTGATTTAGAATGTTTGTTTTTTGACCGGATAAGATGTGATATAGAAATCAATAAATTCATTTCGAAATGTAATGTTTTAGTACTGAAAACATATGGGGCTGGGTGCATTTAAACTATGTCATGGGCCCTTATACTTCCCAATAATCACTCCCCCCACACCCTCAAAAATACCACTCTGCCAGTCTACCACTAAAACTGTATTAAACAAAAGATAGTAATTAAAAGCTCAGCAGTTTTAAATTATAATTCTAGGTCCACACATTATACTGAAACTTGAATTAAATAAGAAAGACCATTTTACAACCTTGCAGAAGGAGATAACTGATTTAGTTTTCATGCATTAACAAAAAGACAAATAAGGAACTGTCTATAAACGTATTTTGAGGCGGACCAAAGTACTGTACGTAACAATCTTATTTGGAACACTGTGTAAAATTCCTTAAAATGTATGAGGCTGTGCTTCTCACGAAATGAGTGCCACAAAGGGAGCATTAACAGCAAATCTGATGACAGCCGCCAGAAGGGATGTACTGGTTGTGGTACGGGAGTAATCGTCTTCCATGTCTATACTTTTAATTTTCCCTCCTTACAGTCAAGTTATTTAAGTTGCAATTTGTGTTTTATTGAGTAGAAGCAACTTTATGTATCAACATAAATCCTACAAAGGGCACAAATCCTGTAATTTTCTTGTCAGAAATCAGTCCCAGAAGGGACAGTTTGTGAACACAGAAGCACTATACTCATCATTCACATACTTTTATCTACAAGGAACCCACATTTTTCTTTGAAAAGCCCACAAACACTTCATTGGAGGTATAGAGATTACAGAGATAGAGGAACCTAAGAGATACAAAATTCTTTAGTACAAAGTTCGCATTTCCAAATGCAAAATTCAACATGCCAAATATTCCACATATTTGGCTAAGCAAGCAACTATTATGCTTACAAAGCAGCTCACATTTACACATGTATTTGCAAACAAATGCCAACAACACATCAGATGCTGTGCAAACCTGAAGTGGGCTGTCAAATTGTTGAAAACATGACCTATTAAAAAAGGAGTCTGGTTTTCATATGGGCCAGAAACAAGTACTTTAAGAAGGACTCACACATAGCACTATCTTTCAGCTTTGGTCCCTTTATCCATAACAAGGAATACATATAATGTTTCACTTGCAAGTTATGGTAAATATTGCTAATATATATTAAATGCTTTTAGAATTCAATCCTGACTTCTGGGGATGTGAGACTATATCCCAAAGGCATTTAGCTAAATATGTGAAACAGGCAAGCGGTTTTCAGACTTTTTTTCACTACAGCTATCAGCAATCAGTAGGAATTCCCCCAACTAGAATTTTGGTAGTTTTAGCCAAAAAAATTCAAGTTCTCAAGGTAAGTTTCAGGATAGAGTGTTTCTTGCCAATGCTCTCTCTGAAGCCATTAAATGGGTGGACCTTTTTAAGCTCGATAGGAACTGTAAAGCATTAGTAAAGGTAGGTTTTTGAAAAGACTTCTATATAGAGTTTAATAAACAAAGAAATAACTGTCTCCATGGAACTTAGCAAGTTCCACCCATGTCTTTCTCCATGCTTCAATGGCTGTTGCTGCAGACAAAGCTAGCCAGAACACATGTGGATGGCCAAGGTTTGGCCATCAAACCTTAATATTAAGCACACATTTAAACTGAGCACTATCTGATCCATACAAAATACTCCTTAATGATACACAGTCTTGTGTCTCATTACATTTTTCTGTATTATCACTCAAATTTAAATGCAGGATATGAGCAGTTAAACGACTTCTGTTAAATATTTTATCTTTCTAAAAATTATAAAAGAGTTACTGGTTCAGAAATACATAAACATGACACAGAGAATAATTTATATTTTAAAAAATTAGTATGAAGAAAAATCTTTCTCCTTTTTCCCCTCTCTTCTTAAAATGCCAAATATGTAACAGCTTTACTCTTTTAAGGACTGGATATAGGAAGTGCCTGGCTAGCCATGAGGCGCACCCAGTGTGCCTGTGGATGCATACTGGTCCCAAAGCTTTACATCAGGCACACAAACTCCGACACAAAGGTGTTGTTCAACTACAACTCCCATAAGCTCTAGCTAGCATGGTTAACGGAGAGAAATGTTTTTGGCTGCAGCTATATTTTTATACTGTTTTGTTTTATTTTGTAAGCCACCCCGAGTAGACATGGTCTAGAGGGGCGGGGTAAAAATCAAATAAATAAATAAAAAAATAAAAAATACGGAAGGATGTGTGTGTTTTTTTTAAAGCTCTCCTTTGCAGCCTGTATGTGTTTGTTTTTTTTTTAAAGCTCTCCTTTGCAGCCTGTGTGCACTCCACGTGGAATTTTAAATGACATTCCCAACCCACACAAAAACCTCACAGCCAGAGTGGCCAGTATGGACTCTATGGTTGTTGTGAGAACACTCTAAGCTCCAGCTTAGATATTTCCATTCCATCCCATAGAGTAACATATGCAAATCCTTTGAAACAATCATCGCAGGACAGTGCTTCTACTAGTAGCTTTACTATACTTGTTTTACCTTTTTCTACACACAGGTCCATTCCTAGAATTGGCCTGCCTAAATGTCAGCAGTCAGTAGAACCAAAACTACACATTTCTCTCCCTCTTTGTTTGTCACTTTCTTCTCTCTCCTTCCCACCCTCTTTGCTCCCTCCTCTCTCTCTTGCTCCCTAATCCCTCTTCACCCAATGAGGATGCACTGATTCCTTTTAGAGATCAGTGAAGAGAGGACTTCTGAAATTAGGCAAGAAGGATGCACTGATTCCTGTTAGAGATCTCAACTGATTGTGAAGAGAGGACTTCTGAAATTAGGCAAGCACCGCAAGATATCAGACTCAAGGTTGCCAGTTGTTCATCCCTGCTAAAGAGGTCTACTTAGAAGTAAGTTACAATTCCAGATGTATGTACTCTATATTACATATGCATGCGATCACAGTCTAAAAATCTGGCAATAATTTTTGCATCACTGCTCAGCTTCTCCAAGCCTCTGTCAGGAGCATTTTTAAGGAAAAAAAT